TATGTGTGTGGGGGGTGTAATGTGTGTGTACATGGGTGTATACGTGGGGGTGAATGTGGGTGTGTATATGGAGTGTATATGGGGGTGTATGTGGGTTGTACATAGGTGTGTATGTGGTGGTGTATGGGATGTGGTGGTGTATGTGGGGGTGTAGGGTGTATGGGATGTGTACGTGGTGGTATATGGGTGTGTGTGGGGTATATGTGGGGGCATGTGGGGAGGATGTGGGTGTGTATGTGGGGTATATATGGGTGTATATGTGGGGGTATACGTGGAGGCATATGGGGTGTACGTTATGTTGTATGGTTGTGCATGGGGTGTATGTGGGGCATGTGGGGTGTCTGTGAGGGTATATGGGCTGTTGGGGTGTATGTGGGGTGTATGTGCATAGTGGTAGGGGAGATGGCCCAAGATAAAAATGTTCCAGTGCTAGAATGGGGCTCACCAGAGCTACCGAGCAAGGAGCAGGAAAACACAGAGATGAGTATGAGACTTCCCCACACCTTTTACGGGGATTGAGGTGAGGGAGAAGGGATGAAAGGGTCACACCCCTTTAAGCTAGAAGGGACTTCACAATAGGAAGCCATGTTTGCGTGTATTTAGCTTGTCTGACCTTCATCATCCCAGGAAGTGGACAGTTTCCAGGGAGCAGGAGAAGCCAGGCTCCAGGGACACACAGTTGTGAGTCAGAGAGCTGACCCACTTCTTCTGGGCTGGAGCCCAACTTCTCTGGTCACCACAGCCTGCTGCCCCTCCCAAGTGGTATGTGTGTGTGTGTGCGCGCGCACGTGTGCACGTGTGTGTGTGTGTTTAGTCATGTCCCTCTGTGAAGATCCCTCACACAAGGGAGATTATGTGAAGGCGATAATCCAGGATTCACCTCTGAGGCTCTGTGTTTACCAACATCTCCTGAAGCTGGGCTGCAGATGAAAACACCCACGGAATGGGCCATGGGTCAGCTATGTCTTAGGCAAATAAGCCTTAGCGTTCTTTTTGGTAGAATGACAAGCACCCCGTGCACTGTCGTAGAGCTCAGACACCATGTACGCTAAATGCCCAGCCTGGGACCCACCAGGAACACTGCAAGCAGTCAACAAGTGGCAGCTGTTAATATCTGTGTACCGTGACAGGTCTGTAAGCAAAAGCCTTCCTCTTTACAGATAAGAAAGGAGCAGCTTGGGTAGGGCCAAGGGCTGCTAGAGTTGTCAAAATCTAAATAAGTTTTTAGATATTTTCTACAGAGCTCTGCCTTTAGAAATCCTATTCTCATTCCTCCCCAGCCCTTCTCATTCTTCACAACTTGTTCTCCAATTTCTCGCATTCCTGGTACTTGCTAATGGACACGCAAGTTAATCATAAGGACAGAACCAACCAGACACAGGGGTATTCAGGGGACCGAGAGACCTCAGTAGGCCTGCAGTTCACATTCATGGAGGGGAGAATGAAGCAGATGCCAGCCTGGGGGTGACGGGTCAGGCAGCTCATGGCTCAGAGATGGCTAAGTTAGGCAGAGGCTGACAGGGGCTTAGAAGGGGACTGGGCCCCAGACAGAACAGAAATGAAGCAATCTGGGCTTGTGGCTGAGGACTGATTTGATAGAAACTAGGTCTCAAGATGGAGATGGGTAGGTGCACAAGCCTCATCAGAGACAAACAACTGCAAGCTATACCAGCGTCAGGGGCTCCAGAAGCCCAAGCAATGTGACAAACACATAAAAACAACACAATAAACACTGGGACAGATGAGAAGAACATGGGACTCCCTGCCCCTTCCAGAAATGCCTTTGATTTTCTCCACAGCTTTTTCTATTACACCAATATCAGGTAAGTGACTGCACCTGCTGGGTGCAGTTTGAGTCAAGAAAATCTGTGATGTGATTTACTAAAAACCCCTTAGACCAGTGATGTTCTGTGTTTCAGACCTTTTAATGATACAAACAGTCACTGTGATAGGTTTACTGAAAGTTTGTCACCACTGTCCCAAACAGAGAACCTCAGTGCCAACCCACTTTCAGGACCTCTCTGCTTTTCAGGAGTTTTCTCTTCATAAAACTTTTCCACTTTTGACTACCTTTGTTCTTACGTACATTCTTCAGCACGGTGGGATAAGAACTGGCACTCTGCAGACTATCCTCTGGCCAAATCTTTAGTCAGACTCCCGAGGACTTTCTGACTAAGGCAGAGCTGGGCTTTCCCCTCCGTCCCTCCACGGTCCATGATGAGCAAAGTTCTTGCTAAGTCACTGAGCAAGTGTCCATCACCCTTGCTATCTGACCACCTCGAAGTCTAGTCCCAGTGCTTGCTTTTAGCAATAATCCTTTCAAGTCAGCTTAGCCCAAAGTTCCTAGTAGTTGATGTTTCTTCTTACTAACATTCCAACCCTACAGCCATCCTGCCCCTTGGTTATAAACTCCCACTTGGCCCTGCTGGAGTTTGAGTCCTCCCTCCTCCCTCATTGCAAGTCTGTGGCTACGCTCCTCCTCCCCAGGATTAAGTCTGCATGTGATCTTCAATAAGTACCACGGATAAATTTTTTTACTGTCTGCATCACTCCTACAGGTTGGACCTTACTGAATCTGGCATTGTTGGGTCCATCGTCATATGGAGTCTAAGAAGACAGGGGAGGTGAGGACTGGGCTGGTTTTGACCAGCATTCACAGACCAGACACTTCACTGGCTCGCTCTCTGAATCGCCTTCTGAGCTGAACTCTGTCCTGCCCTCTACTCAGCCCTAGCTCTGGCTTTCACTTCTCCAAGTGACACACCCGTGACCTCTGTGGCATCTCGGTGAGCCAATCCATGAGGTGCATGGAGAAGATGCCTGGGACAGGCAGAGAAGAGTTGGGGGTGGAGTCCAGGAGAGTCCAAGGCTTTGCACTGTGCCTAACTGCACAGGACCCTCAAGTGCCCTGAGATACTCCGACATCGTCTTCCAGGTGGGGAGCCCATGTGGAGCCCTCGCACATTAGGCTCGATTTTAGTATCAGCTGGGCCTCATTATCTTTCGTGGGAGGCCAGGCCCTTGCACAAAGCTTCCCTGTTCTCAGGAACCTGGCAGGAATGTCGATCATTGCAGAAACCGAGAGGGCCTGGCTCTCTTCCTTTTGGCTTTGGGGCTGTCCTTTCTTCAGATGCTAATCCATAAAGCCATTGCAAGCCAGGCCAGAAGCAGCTCAGGGTGAGGGTGGAGTGCAAACCCTTATCTCCCTCAGGAGCAAGGCAGGTGTGGACTCAACACCTGGAGAGAAGCCAGCTGGAAATGGAGCCTCGGCTCAGAATGTCATACGTCAAATAATGTAATTAGATGATCGCCTGAAGAAGGCTTTGCACAAAACATGTGCTGGACAGCTGTCCTGAGAGTGTGAGGGACTGATCCGAGAAGTCAGTTTGGATGGCCTGAGGCTGCTTGCCTCACCCAGCTGCAGGGCCTGTGACTGAGTAGTAGATCAACCCTTTCCTGGCTCTGGAAATGGTATCCAGCATCCCTACCTCAGATTCCTGGGCAGTCAAACATTCCTGGAAGTGTCATGGTGCCCGCCCTAACTGCAGTCCAGTGCACACAGTAGTGAACTGTCAGAAGCAGCAGAGTGCAGCAGGTCTACACCCTGGTTCAGACTAGATGAGCTGAGCCCTGGCTTCCATGGCTGTAAACTGTGTGACATTGGGTAAGGATCTGTGATCATTCAATAAGATATGTAAAGATTTTAAGAGGATACTTGGCCTTTCCAGTCATGAGGATTTCCTACTGGCTTCCGCTCATCTGTAGGTCCCTAGCTAGAGGAGACATGCTTGCTTCCCACACTGCCTGCCCAGCGTCTGTACTGCCCTCTCTACCTCCACCCAGAGGTGCCCTGCTTCTCCTGGTGCAGGTGGTAGGGAGGGCTCTTTTCACCTAACAGACCCACACACAGGTGAGAACCACGAGTGTGGCCTTTACAGAAGTCTGAAATAGTGTGCATTACATCAATCCCCTTGGTGGTGTGAAGGTGACCCAGGATGTCCTCCCTGTTAGGTGGAGCCTCTTGTCTGTCCTACCCAGCCCTTCTACATTCCTGTTTCACTGTCATGGCGTCCTAGCGGCCATGAGTCGGGCAGGAGAAGGTGGGTACGCTTTGCTCACTGCAGGCAAATGCTTTGTCTCCAGGTTCGCTTTTCATGGCCCAGCTCAAGTGAACAAGTGTCAGAGACACATGGTTATCTGTGCTCCACACAATGCATTATTGAGAATCACTCATTTTTAATTTATATACAAATATAATATTAATAATACATCTCTACACTGTCCATATTCTAGCACAGGCTAATAATGATCAGTTGGTAGTGTTTCCTATCTATAACACCCTCAGGCAGCTCTTTTATCATTAGCCAAAACAATGTATTTATAATTACTAGGCACTTCACACCTAGGACACCTTGAAAATCTTATTATTCTTTTTAAAAAAATATATATTCTGAGTACGTTTTGAGAAAAACCAAGTGGTTTACTTAGAAAACTGTCTCCAAATTGTTTAGCCTCTGGAAGAAAATGCAGAGCCAAGTGTTTGCCCAGGAAAATGACATTTAGGTGGAATCTGAACGATGTCCAATGAAGGCACGCTGGCTCTTTGAGGCGGACGAGGAAGCTGCGCTCTGGTATCCAACGCACCCTTATTCATGGTCTGAACTGCAGGAGCGCTGCCTGCATCTTGGACATGACTAGCACGGGGGTGTGACCAAGGTCGGGGGTAGGTAGAGGGTGTGAGAACAGCTTGCACTATTTTTCAGGCCAATTCTGAGCTACTAGCTGGGGACTTATTACCTGGAGGCGGAGGAGCTTGATATCCCCTTGCTGGGTTCCCTCTGTCATTTCTCTGTTGGTGGAATCATTTTCCTGAGCAAGTGCGTGACCTCAGATGCCCCTCAGGAGCTAGCTGCTTAGGGTCCCAGGAAGCAAGGCCCCTGGAGGTAAGGTACCGCCCCCTGCGGAGGCTTCCGCTTCAGCCCTCGCCCGGGTCCACTCACCGTGGCCTTCGGAAGGTCAGGCCGTAGTGCTGGCAGGCCAGCCCCACCGTGGGCGTGTACACGATCGGCATGAACTTCTCCACGTCCGACGTCAGTACGCGGTAGAAGAGCTTCTCATTCCGGTCTTGAAGCGTCATGAGAATTATGTACCTTGGAGAAGGACAGAAGCAGTGAGCTGATCTTAGGGACCTGACACCACGGCACAGAGCGGTGGCTGCAGCTCCAGCAGCACACCAAGGAGCCAAGCAAGCATCGAGGGCATGTTGACGTAAGCCGGCCCAAACCTGTGAAATGTCCAAGTACGGGCTGCCCTATGGTGCTTATTATCACACGAGTGTGAGCGCTCACTTAAGGCTTCCAAGGACTTGCCAGCGAGGTACTATAATCCATGCTGCTTTAGAGACAAAGGGACAACTGTACAGGTGGGCGTATGGACTCACCCCAGGTTTCACGCAGCCCCTACACCGTCTGCCTCGAGAGTCTGTGCTCCCAACCAGTTTGTAAGTCACTGTATCATTAGGGTGAAGCCGGGGCCAGGAAAGTGCTAGGCAAATGCGTGCAGCACGGACCGGCCTTTTCTATCACCCAGGGAGGTCTTGGTCCCAGAACGAGCGCACAAGGGGCTGAGTGGAAAGCTGCACAGCGCAGGCTCCAAAAATAACGTTTCCGGAAGCCTGAAATCACATCGCAGGGAAAGGACACTTCTATTCACCTCCGAAATACGCAAAAAACCTCGGAGAAAGAAAGACAGGCACTGAAATTCACAGTGAAGTGTGAGGGCTGAATCGCCACCTTTTTGGACAACAGTTTGGGGGCCAGAGTGGGGGCACCTGAGGCCTTGGT